TTGCAGAGGCTGTGGCTGGGGGCAGACGCAGCTGTTTCAGCAGGCGGAGTGGGACAGGAGTGTGTGCCAGTGCAGCAGTGGGGGGTGCGGGTCAGGCAGGGTGGGCTGGGGAAGCTCCTGGCACGGCTCCCCCATACTGTGCAAAGGTGAGGGCAGACAGGCAGCGGGTGCGTGTCCACCTGCAGCGGCGTGGGGCTGGGCAGCTGCCTGCGCCCTGCCTTGGTGCAGCCCCAGCCTGGGCATCCTCAGCTCTTCTCGGAGGTGGGAGAGGGGCAGCAGGACCCTTCCTTTGTGCAAGCCCCTCTCCCAGCTTGGCCCGAGGGGTGGATCCAAGCCCTGCTGTGCCACTGTCAACCTGGTGCCTTAGGAGGAAACAAAAAGCCTAGCGAAGCCTGAGCCCTGCTCCCGCCTGCATAGCCTGGAAAGGGGAAGGAAAACCAGCTCTGCTCATTTAGCTGTTGGGACTTAAGTGTATTAGGGGGTTGGGGAGGTGGGGAGGCGAAGCTTGGTATGAGTTGATGTGGATGTCTTTGCTCTTGGGCAAAGGGCCGGGTGGCTCTGGCCAAGGGGTGCAGGGGCGTCCCTGCGGACACACTGGCTCAGCTGAGGGGGGTCAGGGCTGTTTTGGAGGGGGTGGGTGCTGGTCCTCTTGCCCCAGCAGGTGTCTGGAAGGTAGGTGCAAGAGTCCATGCTGAGATCAGGCTGAAGCCTTCCAGCCTGCGGAGGAGACACGGGGGCTGTACTGCTGTCAGAGAGGCGTATGGCACAGCAGGCGAGACCCTGCCACAGAAGCTTTACCTAGTGGTGGCGTTTCCCTTGCCTTGCTGTGTGGCTGAGGAGAGGCAGATCTGGTGCTGACAACACTGTGGTCATTTTTTAGCAGCTCTGGAGCGTGCTGTGGCAATCATAGCGTGTGTGTCCCTTGCAGCGGCCCGTGTGCTGCAGGCAGGGCTATGCCCTGGGCACAGCTCTGCTGGCCCAGCTGGCATATGGACACTTGGATTTCTTTGTGTTTTTTTTTTTCTTTTTTTCCACTTTTGACCACAGCTATTGGGGAACACCCCTCTCAGCCTGGCACTGTGAAGCAAGTTGTTGGGTTTTTTTCCCCCTTGAGGATGTAGTATGGGTAAAACCACTAATAAAAACAGCTGGAAGAGCATCGTGCTTGTGTAATCCATGGGAGGCTGAGGCTCCAGTGCTGCACAGGGTGGAAGAGAGGCACGGTCACC